TTTCTTGTCTGTGTGCATGTTTTATGACGTCAATCTCCGTGTGAGGAACATTTTTTTCTAAAACATATTTATATGGTATAATTAAAAAAAAAGAATTATTATTTAACGATAAAATTAAAATTAGATTATAGGTAATTGCATCAGTGGTGAAGTGTTAATCAAGAAGTGATTACGTCACATTGAATCGATGTGTAGTTATAAAATATAGATGAGCGAAAACGCATTCTGTTGGATATCAGTTATCATAGATTTATAGAACAAAGTAACAACCGTCTACTCTGAAGGGTATTAATCAAGGCTGCATTGATGGTATTATAAGACATGCTGCTAATTCATTCAAATGTAAAGGATTATGGGTGAACTGGAATTGGGACACATTTATTCTAATACATTTGAATAGCCTACTAACATGTCTTTTTATACTACCACAAGTCAGAGATTGACTACACAAATCTTTGTTTATCATAGAAATATCGAATACACGCAATGTGGATAACTCAGAACCAATTCCAAAGATATTTACAAAATCCTCCTGACAACAAACATGAAATATCATCAGCTCTACTTTTCATAGTAAAAGTTAAATTAGCATTTCGTGTCCATTCTGTTTTCATCAATCTTTTTGGAGACTAGGCACTTTATTGTGTTATTATATTGTGAAGTTAATCAATTTGGACTGCGTGACGACAAGGAATAATTCGATTCAGAGATGAACACTACTACTACTGCGGCTGTGAACCAGTTGAAAAGTAGTAGTAGTATTAGGTATTATTATTATATTATTGTATCCTTTAATTCCTACAGGAACATAGGGCTTCAGCCGTGCGTCTCCATTGCGTTCAGTTCTCTGCTAGAGTCTTCACCTGGCTCCAAGTCTGCCCACACGTTTTCATCTCCTCTTCACACGACCTCCTCCAAGTCACCCTCGGACGACCAACTCGCTGCTTTCCTTTCGGGTTCCACTCGAGCGATGGCTTGTCTAGTGATGTCACTTGATGGTTTCCTCAGAGTATGGCCAGCCAATCCATCTCCATTTCTTCCTGCCTATTTGTTTCACAATTGGTTCCTGGTTGGTTCGCTCATTGCCAGAGATCTTTGTTGCTGATCTTGTCTGACCGGCCATCTGATCTTGAGTATTGAGCGAAGACAACTGTTAATGAAGATCTGTAGTTTGTTTGAGATGCTCTTTATGACGCGCAGTGCAAGTCTCTGATCCGTATATTAGCACTGACTGACTTCACATTGGAGTTGAAAATCCGGATGTTATTTTTGATGCTGAGTGCTGTTGACCTCCACACAGACTTAAGAGTAGTGAAAGCTTGTCTTGCTTTTCCGATTCTTGCTTTGATATCCTCGTCAGTTCCGTCCACCTGTAGTTGAAACGATGCTTCCCAGGTAGGTAAAAGAGGTTGTTTCTTTCAGGTTCTTTCCATTTATGCTGATCGTTGTCTGTTGTTGTTGTTCTTGTCCAGGAATCTTCATCATCTCTGTTTTCTCTATGTTCACCTGAAGTCCTATCTTTGGTGCTTCTTCTACCGTCAACTTGTTCCTTTTCGCTTGCATATCTTCCAGTTTGTGGGAAATCAAATGTATATCATCGGCGAAGTCCAGATCCTCCAAGTTATTCGTGAGGGTCCATTTTATGCCTGTTTCCTCATTGCCCGCTGTTTGTCGCATTATCCAGTCTACTGCAATCAGGAAAATCATTGGCGATAGTAGGCAGCCAGCTTGTCTTACACCTGTCCTCACTTCGAAGGATTTCGCGAAATTCCTGTTGTGGATTACTTGGCATGCAGCATTGTCGTACAGGTGTTGGATGAGATGTATAATTGTCGGTGGCACCCCGTAGTAGCGAAGTAGTTTCCAAATCACCTCTCGATCGACGCTGTCGAAGGCCTTTTCAAAGTCGATGAAGTTGAGATAGAGAGGTGACTGCCACTCCAAGCTCTGTTCAATGATGATCCGTAATGTGGCGATCTGATCAATGCATGACTTGTTTCTCCTGAATCCAGCCTGTTTCGGTCGAAGTTTTTCATCCAGGGCATGTTTGATTCTCTCCAGGATGATGCGGCTTAGTATTTTGCTTGGGATGGACAGGAGCATAATTCCGCGCTAGTTCTTGCATTGACTTAGGTCTCCTTTCTTTGTTAGTTTGAATAAGTATCCTTTCTTTCAATCCTCGGGTACTTTGCCTTCTTTTCACACCTTCAGTAGTGGCGTCATTAAGTCCGCTATTGTCTCTGGGTCCGTTTTCAATGCTTCTGCTGGGATTCCATCTGGTCCTGCTGCTTTTCCAGCTTTCAGCATCTTGATTGCCTTCAGGACTTCTGATTTCGTCGGAGGGTTGGTGTTCACTGGTAGCTCTGTCTCCGTTGTTGGTATTGTTGGTTGGGTTGTAGGTGGTGGTCGATTTAGGAGTCTTTTGAAGTGTTCAGCCCAGTGTTTCCTTTGCTCCAGTTGTTTGGTGAGTGACTTTCCATTGTCATCCTTCACTGGCTTGATTTGTGTCAAACGTTTGCCCGATAAGTACGTAGTTGTTTGGTAGAGTGTTGCGAGGTCTTCTTTGCCTGCAGCTTGTCCTGCTTCACTTGCCATGGTTTCATAATACTTTCTTTTGTCCTCTCTGGCACTCTTTTTTACTTTTTTGTTCAGTGTATCGCAGTTTGCATTCAAATCCTGTTAAACAAGCACAGAGTAGCAAATAGATAGTTATAGGTGTTATTGATATACAATATTATATCCAAGATTCAGTGTTTCAGAGTCAAATAATTGTAATAGTTTTTTGCTTCTTTTTGATAAGATATTCCACAAAAATCAGAGTTTTAGGTAACTATGCAAATGTAGCGCAGTAATCGAAAAGCGCGCCCTCCATCCACACTGCCTACTTCCTATTAGGTGATTGTGATTATTACTGAGGTTAATGAGTTGTGTTGTGCAAGTCAGACTCCATCTTAGTGTATTAGGCTGTTTCGGAAACTTGACACTTTCATTCTTCATTAATTATTGTCAGCGTTTCATGAGCATTACTTCGATGAATAATATTCAGTCTGATTGATCATTAATTTAGGTGTTTTCTTGATTCCTCTGTTTTCCGGGTGGAACATAGGGCTTGAAGCTTCGGAGTTTTATTATCGGCGATATCGTGTCTTTTGAGGGATGGAGTAGCTAACCTCACACCGAACCTTTCCTCTTTTAAGTGTCCTTGCTAGTGCTTAGGTGGAGTTCATGAGTTTGTCGGACAGGAATCGATGTCGGACCACTTACGGCGTGTTTGTTGAACACTGAACTACTGAACCAGCGACATCCATAACACATGGTGTGTGTCTTTACACAAGTAGAAACCTATGCCATCAGACCACACCCACTGAAATTTCGATACTATCGTATGGATACTGACAAGAATTCTGAGTTGATACAGTAGTCCATTAAAGTACGTGTATTCATAATAATTAAAATGATTTTGTAAGAGTTCTCATACAACATGAAATAATGATACATATATTGCTTTGCAGCCATACTCGTTCAATTTTGAAATAATAATATTGGTAATAAATAATGTATTCTTCATGCTTTGCTGGATAGTTAGTGTTGAAGTTGTCATGAAGGTTGAAGTTGGATTGTTTCCGATCAAGTATGAAAGGTCTGAGATCACTAAACCATTCCCCATTCTCCCTTATTCATAATATATATTGATAGTGGTATCATACCATCCTCTGACTATATTGCCTAATTGCGGGAATAAATAAATTTATTTTACCTTCACGTACCCCAGTGGAACATAGGGCTTCAACCTAGTGGCTTGAAGTTTCTGTAGCAGTGTTTATTTTACAGGATGGGGTTTCTAGCCTCATGCCCAACCTTCCCTCTTTAACAGCATTATTTCTGGTTTAGTGAGGTCAAGGAGTGTGTCGGCCGAGGATCGAACCCTGGACCATGTGCATGGTCGGCGAGCGTCCTAACCGCTATGCCACCGACGCTATGCTAGTTGAAAACTACTCCCTAATATATAAATAAATGAGTAAAATGCAGATTATGTAAGACAGAGGATATAAGAACACTTGATATGCATGTCAGTGTCGACTGATATGTTATAATCCTTTAGAATCTGCTTACACTGACGTTCCATCCCTGAGAAGTGATTTTTTGGGATTTGTAGACCACCACCTCATTCAGTTTAGATATCATACCGAAAACTATGTGGTGTATATTGGTTAGTAGAAGATTTGAGAGTCGTTAGAGTCCATTTGTCTTGCATTACGTATCTGGTTGTGGATAGAAAGATGAGTTTGTTGTATGACACTTTGTTGACGTCTAATATGCTGTTGTAATCCTTCACTTTCTGCTGATTTGATAAGTTTTAAATTTTATTTAGATTCCTTGTATCATTTTCAGTGATATTAACAAGTGAGAAATGTTGTAGTTGTACAAGAAGTTTTTGATGAGCCAGTTTCAGAGATTACATATACGTAATATGGTTGCTTTCTTTGATGTTACTTGATTAGTTGTCGCTGACAGTGGAATTCAAAACACTCATTTTGGTGCTATTTAACACCGGGGGACTCGGCTACAAGCGCTGATGGTATTGTATTAGACGCCTATCAATTCGATCGTTCAGTAAAAGCAGAAAATGGGCTACTTAAAGCTTCACTAGAATAACAACTAAAGCCCTATGCACAAAGTTGGCTGTATTGACTCAGTAGTTTAATGTTCATTTCTACACTGCTTAAATTGATATTTCTAAAAAATCTTAATTTAGTTATTAGGCAGTCGGATGACACTTCACATACCGGGATATTTGGTCAACCCTAGCACAGGATCTGGAAGTGATTGCCGGCTGCATTGAAATGCAAGCGGATTTTGCGTTACCTTATTGTAATGTTGATCTGTCTAATCCTTTAGTTAATTGATTGTGTATACCAGTGAAAAATTACTCATGCATACACTTCTACTGATCTATCATCAAACTGTAGTTTACAATTTGTATTTTATATTTTGTACAGGGAAGAACAGGTGTTATGGTTTGTGCTTGTCTACTTCGGTTGAATGATGTTATAGACGCTGATGCGTCGTTGAAATTCTACGCCGAACAAAGAACTAACAATGGGAAAGGTGTTACCATACCTAGTCAAAAACGATATGTTCATTATTATGATACATTTCTTAAGAATCACCATGTATATCATACAACTCCATTATTTTTAACAGCTGTTAGTATTTGTGGATTACAATTTATATCAGGTAATATATTTCCCTGTTTTTTTTAAAAATTTCTTTTTTCTGCTGTGTTCACTGTTTGTCCCTGGCTGACTCCTAAAGTTCGAAAATGACTGAAGAGCCATCCCTTCTGTTTAAATATACAACCGTAAGATGTAGCTACCGCAGGCAGACAATATGACAAATTATCGGTTTTTGACCACTGATGTCTTTGCAACACTTCTCATTTGCGCTAGGCACACAGATTGGGTCAAATAGAGTTGGCAATCAAATTATTATGTTGCAGATAGGCACCAACAGAGATGACTGGGACCGACAAGCTGTCAGTTCAAGAACTAAACTTAGTAAACCGTTAAGTTTAGTCAGAGCATGTATCCTTGCTGGCTTTTGTTCTGAAGATGTGCTGTTGGTAGAACTCAGTTGATTATTGTTTGATAATGTAATCCCGCTTTCTAGCTTGTAACAGGCTGAGCTATATTCCAGGCTTGCACCTGATGCCTGAAAGTCGAGTGGTGAAGCCAATTATCCGCATCGCCGGTGTGAAGATCATAAGACGTAATCATTGTAGATTTCTCATGATATTGCTTAAAATAGTTTACAATTGTGAAAGTGTATTCATTCATCATCATTTTCGAAACTCTTTTTTTTGCAACGTAAACCGACTCGTTATGATCTTAACACAGGAAAACGATCTCTGCGTTCTGCTGTATATCTGGCAAGCATCCTTGAGATTGTGACATGCACAGTCACGAAACACTCCAAAGTCAGGAAAAAGATAGTTATTCTGGAATAATTTTGAGGTTCTTTTAAACAACAATAATAACGTCAAAAACGCAAAATCACCCCAACAGTGCCGTTAGGCAGCTGCACAGTTCGTTCTATGTACAAAACGTTCACTTAGAATCAAGTTGAATACTCCCAAAAAGATGGGATCAGAATCTCTCTCCACGAGAATCACACATTAATGCTTCCCGCGTACAGTTCAAGGTCGGAAATGACCTTGATTCACACAAAATCACATGGCACAACACATTATCAGTGTACACGCAACCACAAAGAGAAGCATTGAAGTTGGTCTAGGTGAAAAATGGCTAATAATTACAGAGTTAGTTGGAACGTTCAAATAAGTATAAATATTACGATTAGATTGTCCAGGTGGGATTTTCCGAACAATTTTTCCTATACAATTTTAACACTCCACTCATTATTTACCTATTCATTCCTTTCTCACGATCATATTTGTCCCCTGTAATATCATTCTATGCCTGTTCTCATTACTTTTGAGGGCTTTTTTAAAAGTTAGGATAAATCACATTTATTCATTTCTGTGTTGTAATCATGTGACCAAATGAATATAGTCTTGTTAATATTATGTAGCGGTTTTATGTTCCTAAACATAAACAACTAATTAGTTAGGCTATCTGAGGTAAACTTCTCTCGACAGATTGCTATCGACATTAACAGTTGACTGATTACTGAAGTGTAAAATCAAGACCTAAATCATGGCGGAATTCAAACTACCATCCTCTCTCTGTGTCTCTCTACTAGCAGAATGATGAGATCTATTTGTAAACCTTGAAGTTTTATTGATTATTTAAAAATCGTTATCTGCGAAATTAAAAGAAAAGGAAAAGATATAACTTAATTTATTTTAACTTTTGGTGTTAATTTTTTTCAGAAATTGTTTTTTTTGCTTTTCTTTCTAGGACTTGTATTAGATGTCCACTTTTATATGTTTAATTCTTCTCATATATTTGGATCAGCTTGTGAACAGTCATTTGTAAAATCGTCTACTCAGCATTCACCTTTACAATTAAATAAAATTGATGCTTCACCGGAATTAGAAAGAAATAATAATAGTACTAATGCTAATAATAATAATAATAGTGCAATCCATCAAAATTATGCCACTTTTCGATCACCAACCACTGAACCATATATCCCGTCATCTTTTATGTATTCAGTTGCATCGTTATCCTCAGAACCGATACACAGTGATGAAGTAGTTATTAAACCTGAGAGGAAAATTCTTCTTTCAGGTGATGTTCGTGTTAAACTCTACGCTAGACATCCTATGTTCAATAAAGTAAGTCTAAATAATATTAATTAAGAAAGTGTTTTCCTATCGTTTTCTATTTGGTGTAATATTAAATCTTAGACGAATTTAAAATCACATCTTGACTTGAACAACTGTGTGGGGTGAATTTCTTTCATTCGAACAATGAGTACACCAGTTTTTGAAGTTTTCATCTTTTTTTCTTCACAGGAGTGTGTGTGTGTTTCTTCAGGGTTGTAGGTGTCCGTGTACTGGTGATTGTCAACAGGAAAACAACTTAGGTTTAGGTGGAGGAGTTGTTGCCTGTCTAAAGAAAACCTAATGGATATATTTCAATCAATATTTCGTAATAGACAATTATGAACTATTCAGGGCAACGAGTGACCACCTGTAGAACTGTAATAAATACACTAATTGGTCGCTAGGCTGTATCTTCTTGTCCTTCTGTCTTTTGTCTGTGTAAAGTAAAAACAGTTTTAAACTGTTATCAATAAAAATATTTAATTCAAGGCTACTTTGATTTGCATAAAACTATATATACTATTAATTGATTGAGATGAGCAGTTGCATAGCACTCACATCAATCAGCAGTGTTTGCTAGCCATAGCGAAGTGATCTAAACCGTGGTGGACCGTTTCGCTCGTTTGAAACTGAGCTTCATCAACGGAGTACCCGGTTTGACGCAACCAAATTCTTTCAAACCACCCGATTTCTGGCTATCTATCCCGCAAAGCAGCGGTACCTGATGGAATGACTCCAGAGATGTTTAAGGACGGCAGACAGTTTACTGTCTGCGTTGACTAAGGTATTAGGGAATGTCTGGGAATCAGGGGAAGTCCCGTCCGGTTGATGTAAGTCACTGATTATCCCGATATACAAGAAGGGAGACAAGTCCTCCTGTGATAATCACAGGGGGATTAGCTTGACCAATATGGTGTTAACTAAAGTTCTAGGCTCAATAATAATGCTCAGACTAAGCGGCCCACGGGAGGAACAAACACGAGAGGACCAGTCAGGCTTTAGACCAGGAAGAGGGTGTATTGATCATATCTTCACCCTTCGAGAGATTCTGGAACGGGACATAGGCATACTTAGCGGCGTCCAACGATCGTTACATTTCTTGACCTGAAGGCAGCATTCAATTCTGTCGACCGAGAGGTACTATGGCAATGTTTGGCTGTGAAGGGAATGCCGAGAAAATTTATTGCACTGATCAAGTCACTCTACTCGAACTCATGCAGCCAAGTGAGAGCTTACGGTGAGCTGTCATCTGAACTGGTGGCAACTAGTGGTGTCCATCAGGGTTGCGGAACCCCTCTATCTGCCACTTAGGAAGTTTAAACCACCTTTATTACGACTATGTTAAAGAATATCATTTACTTAATTACTTCAAAATGTATATTCCATGTAGACATCATCGTCTTTTTCCCATGATGTATTAAACAAATGTGATTATAAAGTAGTAGAATTTAATCATAACGACATATTGGATAACTTTATTTGATACAGAACACAGTAATCCATCATCAATAACTATATGATGTCTTCAGTATAGTTCTTTTTTTGGCCAAAATTATGTCAGCGTAGTCACACGACTTCCTAACTTGCCTTGCATAATTGCTGTTTTCTTTTAAAACTCCCTCCTATTTATTAATGTAGTCTTCCTTATATGGAGAGAGTAAAAACTATGTAAAGCAAGTGAGAAAGTTGTAAGTTAGCCCTGATATGATTGTAGTCAGTAAATCGTATGTGTGAAGTCACCTAGTTATTAATAATATGTCACTGTGTGTAGGATTAAATAATTTCATGCAGTGTGAAAAAGTAAAGTATGTCTTTTTATTCATCAATACGAAGTGTATCACGAATGAATGAAATCCTCGACAGATATTTCTTTTCCATTTTTCTTTGGGGGCGGGGGGGATGGGGTTGGAAACGAATTTGTACTTACGACACTGAACGCTACGATGCATTGTAATTGAGTCGAATTCATCATCTACGAATTATAGAGTTCCTAGTGAAGTTTTTACCATAATTCCCATTGAAAATGAAAAGTATTTAGATCACAATTTGTGATATACTTGATACTGTAATTGGCAGCCAAACAAAAGAGCTTGATGGCATATACTGCTGATTGATTTGAGTAACTTGGTAACTAAAAAAGTCAAGCGATAGTGTTTGATAGCGAGATCGGAGTGATCTGAATACCAGGCAACCGTTTCACTCATTTTCAGCGGAGCTAACTGGTGGGCGCTTTAAACCAATTCGTCTTTGTGAACTAAGTTCATCCAGCTGGTTCATTTTTTTTATTAATCTTTCTGTGATCAATTTTCAAAGCTTTTATATTAGATTTATTGCGTCAGTTGTCTAAATTATCGGTTGAGTTATGTGGTTTTGAGAAATACAAAAGTGTATTTTTATAGTTAGGGTGATATATTACAAATTGATAGTGTTTGAAATCTTTCTCAGTGACTGATTAATAATATGGATGTGTCGTATGACTGAATGATCCTTGGTTCAAATCTTCCAGGGTTGTGAGTGCGCATTACCACAAGGTCTAAGACCAGTGGTACCTGGTATGGAACGCTTTTTTAATTAACGTCAGCTTGTGATGAAATGTTTGCGTCGAAATAAGCGTCTCGATTGAACCCAAGTCAGTTCTGATAGATAAATGGTTTCTTTTTTTAACAGATATGACATTTGTGCCATGTGCATCTATTGATGTGTGAAGGTGGCATTTCGCTGACCGAATGACTTTATGGTACAGTCTGATTGTGAAAGGAGTGCTAATGAAGTGTATTATACCGATCATGGCACTGTACACTCTAGCAACAGTTCTCTTGTAAATCGTTGACAGTCAATGACACCATCCATCAGCATTTCTTGTTTGCGATGTTCTTCTATAGCATTTCTATAGATGTACTAATGGATTTTGTTTTCAAGTGTTGGTTTGCTCGGATCTGATTTGATTGGTTATAGGATTTCATCATGAGACGACATCGGTGGCACAGCGGTAGGATGCTCGCCAACCACGCCTGTGGTCCAGGGTTCGATTCCCGGCCGACGCACTCCTTTACCTCGCTAAGCCAGTAATAAGACTGGTAAAGAGGCGAGGTTGGGCATGAAGCTTGCAACCCTACCCCGTAAAAATAAACACCACCGCTACCGAAACTTCAAGCCTGTAGCTTGCAGCCCTATGATCTACTGAGGACGTGAAGTAATAAAAAAATGACATCGGTTAGAAAACCATTGGAGAACCTGGGAATGCTGGATAGTTGTTTTGTCCTAGTTTGGGATTCTTCACCGTACTCACCCACTGGACCCTATTCAGGTAGGTAGTTACCTGGGTTCTATTAGGAAGTCGTGACCAGTGGGGTACAGCAGGTCGGATGTGATGATAGATACTCAACAATGACATTAGCTAGTGATCGTGCTATGTGGTGAATTTGCAAAATTTGGAATTTAGAGGCCATTAGATCGGTTCCCAGTGACTTAATGGTCTACGAGCTTGCCTTGTAACCGGAAGGTCCTGGATTCGAACCCTGGCGGTGGGTGCTTACTAATGAAGAGTCCCAAACTGGAACGAGACAGATGTCCAGTACTCGCAGGTTTTTATTTTATTATCTGAAGAGCTTCCTTTTAAGATACATTTCAGTAGGCTATACATTGTTACCCTGACATTTGCATGTTGAGCATTTATGAAAAGATAAGTTTACGGGCCTCTTTTCTTTAATGATATACAAAACCGAAGAATGCTGTGTTCGGACAGCTGAATCAACTACACATATATATGAATGTACACCCACTTAGGTGTCTGGAAGTATGTTTCATACGTGTCAAACACGAAAATATAATATTAGCTGGTTAAATGAGACCTAAGGGAGACTACACGAAGAGAGGAGAGAGAGAGAGATGGCATCACTTCATGGTAGCCTTAATGCTATTCACAATCCACTATATTAGTATAATAATTTTCTAATATTTTATAAATTCCGAAATATTTTAGTAGACCTTTAATTGTTTACTTTCAAGTTTGTTAATCCCTCTCTTCCTCTCTCTGTCTGTTTGTGCCCTTTTCCTTTTTTTTTCACTTTAATTTTACAAAGCAAAAGTAGCACATTGGTCTTGAAGAAAATGTCAAGAAAAACTCTTAAGGAATTTGTCTATAAATTATAATTGTCTAGTCATTTTCTACCACTGCGGGTTAACATGCGGTTAGTTAATTGACTTACTCATGCTTGATTATAAGCCCTCATTGTTTACGTAATTTGTTCTCCATCTCATATATATAAATATAGTAGTTCATTGGTAGGATGCTTGCCAGTCATGCAGGCGGTCCGGCTTCGATTGGCTGCCGATGCATTCATAAATCTCGCGCTCCGTTTCCTATCCTGTAGTAAGCCTGGGAAAGTGGATAGACCAGGAGTGAAGATAACAACCCTGCCCTGTGAAAACAAACTCATTGCTGTTGAAACTTCATAGTTTGATGCCGTGTGTCCTACTCAAAATTTATACGTCAACTGTATGTCCATACATACTTATGAAATAGATTTTCTGCATAGAGTTGGCCTATTAAATAGTAATGGATTTACATTTTAAGCATTCCTCGTCACTCGTTGACGGCAGTCGTCCAATCGTCATGTAGTAATAGTTTGAAACTCACCACGAAGGCGAGTCTCTTAGCCTAGTGGCAAACTTGACTGACCAAAATCCAGACAGCACTTACGCTAAGGTTTGGTCACACGAAAAAAGCAATGCTATCAGTTCATATCTATTCATGCATATCGTTTAGCCGTAGTGAAAAACTTGTCAGAAAATATAATTGTACAGAGAAAAAAGACTGATACGGAGTTACATTGATGATTTAGGTTATGTACATACATATATATATACTTTCTATAACACACATATATTTCTGTATTTGATAATACATGTATTGATTAGTTAATGTAATACCAATTTGAATCCATTAGAAAAAATTTCCAAGTATTTAGTCACATGACAGCCTGGTACAGGTCAACGTGATGTATATA